CTCTCTCTCTCTCTCTCTCTCTCTCTCTCTCTCTCTCTCACACACACACACACACACACACACACACACACACACACACACACACACACAAGTACGAATTGCCCAGCGAAACCCTTGAGCCCTGAAGAAGGTCAGATGTAGATCGCTCCTTGACTGCAGTGTTGAAGGTCAGCACCCGAGCAGCTATGGCGGCCAGCCCTCACACGACCTCCTCTGCCTGCAGATCTTCTAGAGACCCCCCTCCCTCCCTCTTCAGTCGCTCTCCTGAACCCCTGGTTCACCAGCTGAGCCACCTCCAGATGTGAAGTGCAAAATCTCTGTCCTAGTCTGGGACTCTGGGCCCATCCTCTCGTATACACTGAGGCCGAGCAGTCTCCAGTGCAGTCCTGCCGCCCTGGGCGGTTCAGATTCGCCCCTGATTGGTGGCCAACCCAGGTGGGCCCAGGTGGGCCCATCCAAAAATATGGCCCGCCCTGTTGTGTTTCCATAATATTCCAGGCTTGGAGTACAGCCCCCACCTGGACGCTCCCTCCGTTTGCGGATGAAACCTCAATCAAATCAGGTCACTGTAGAAGCAAGACCGTCGCGCTAAACCGCACGCAATCACACCATGAGAGTCATGGGACATTCGCTTGGGAATCATGACATCACATGCATTCATGAGATAATCACACGATAGCATGAGAAAATCATGCAATGAAAGAAGAAAGAGACGAAGAGTAGAGATAAATCCGAGCGCACGTGGCGCCGTGAAAAAATTTCATCGTAATAGTGCACAATGCACATCGATCTGGCGATAAACCTCAGTCTGAGGTCCTCACCCCCCTCCTAAATCGAAGGGGCGCTGTAAAGGTTTTAAGGTTGCTATGGCCGCGGGCCAAAAGTTCGCAAGGGGGGAGGGGGGTGCAGCCCTCATAATGAGAAAAAAAAAAAAAAAAAAAAAAAAGGAGCGGTGCCTGCCAATGGACACACACAGAGTCATACAGACTAGACTGAACAGGCACTCTTATGACGAGGCACGCAGGATAAAGTGTGTGCCAGCCATGAAACAGAAAACGCGGACAATACATTTGTCATCCTTTTGACTGCTAAGTAAGATCAAGTGCACTGTATCTGCTCTGGTCAGTTTGATATCTGATCTGTGGTCCACCGGGCCACATAAAAAAAAAAAAAAAAAAAAAAAAAAAAAAAAAAAAAAAAAAAAAAAAAAAAAAAAAAAAAAACAGAGGATAAAGTGTGTACAGACAAAACCAGGACAGACAATGCCCTCTGCGAAACAAACACAGACATGAAATAAAAAAACACGGACAACGAAGATACAGAAAAAACAGGACAGTGGATGAGGTCTGGAGTGCAAAATAATTGAGAGAAAAAAATACAGCTGTCCCCCAATGAGGAGAAGACGGCTTTGAGGAAGAAACAAACAAACAAACAAAAAAAAAAAAAAAAAAAGAACTAAAAAGGAAAATACAATATACAGGACTGGGAAGTCTGAGCTACCTCGGGTCTGCAAAGAAAAATGTGAGGCACCCAAGGCCAAACCTTGGAGGTGTGTGGCAAAAGCTCAGGAACCCCCCCACCCCCCATGAAAGGTGCAGAAATCAGTACTGGGCCTAACTGGGCCTAACTGGGTCCACTGGGGCAAAAGACCCCCGAGCATCCGACAACTGGCATTAAAAAAAAAAAAAAAAAAAAAAAAAAAAAAAAAAAAAAAACAACAACAACAACAAAAAAAACGAAAGAGGGGTGCCCTGGGCAACGCGGCAAAGTCGCCTGTTCAGGAAGGCCCCCACTTCTATATTGTGCTTGATAGGGATGCAAAATAATATTTAATATATTATTATATATTAGTGCAAAACCACAACATCGTAAATTGGTATTGGCACCAACCCTAAAAGGCTAAACCCAACGTACAAAATGACAACACTGCAGTCAATCAATTTGAAAAAGCTTAGTCCTTCGGGACATCCGTTAAAATTGGAACGATACAGAGAAGATAGATTAGCATGGCCCCTGCGCAAGGATGACCAGAAGAAAAAGAAAAAAGAAAAAAAAGGACGGAGAACTGTGTTCGATACCTGCTATAATATCTTCTTGATGAAGAAAGAAGACAAAAGGACAGTGTAGAGTCAGACATGCGTCATACTGGGTGAGCGATGCCATCAGTCGTGCTCGCAAATATGTGTACATCATACTTGCAAGCAGACGGACCGGACGAGCGTCGGGTCCCGTCCGCTTTGGCGCGTGCGGCACCCTCCCCACGGACCGGACGGACCCGGACCGGACCGGACGGGGACGTTTTTTTTTTTTTTTTTTTTTTTTTTGGGGGTGGGGCGTAACTGGTCATCGGGCGCACATTCGTGCGCCGCGCGGGTCCGGTCCGGCGGTCTGCCGCACGTGCGGAACCGCTCAGATGGCGTCCGCTCGCAAATATGCATACATGCTTTGAAGTGTGAAAGTTGAATTCGAGTTTACGAGATCCAACGAGCAAAGGCAAGGATCATGAGATCGGCGGCAGAATTCAATTGAAATCTGGTCAACAGCTGTTCTTTTTAACAAGTCTTTATTATCATCTCCATAAAAAATAAAAAAAAAATAAAAAAGCATGAAATGCGATTCATCAAAACTGTCAAAAGTTAAAAAACGATGTTTGGGAACGAGGATCGGGATAGGGAACTCACAGACAGAGAATTCCGTATGAATCGAGGCAATCGCTGGACGGTGGCAAATCGGAAAATCTCATATATAAATCAATACAATTGCTCAAAAATAAAAAAAAGACAACCTTTTTGTTTTGGGAAAAAAAACAAAAAGAAAGGGCGATGGTCTCGACTCTTGGGGTACTAACACCGGAGAAACCAACCCAGGAATTTTTTTCAATCTTCCGCCCGCCCAGGCTGACAGGGTGACCTTCTCAGCCCAGTGGTGGCCTTATTGCCTTTCAGGGGCACACCTAGAAGCGGTGTACAACTCTCGCCAGAGACTAATGGGCTGCACGCAGCCCCACAGCGAATAGGTGGGCGACACACCGGCCAGGGGTCAGCTGGTAGGGACTAGGTGGGCGACACACCGGCCAGGGGTCAGCTGGTAGCAGAGGGACGAAAAAGCATAATCTGAGACGCCAGTCGCTGTGCCTCCACACTTACCCCTCCCCCTGTGAACATCAGCAGCGCCTGCTTCGTGCCGACCAGGGTGGCCAACGGGGGCCATCTCCAGGCGGCGGGTGCCAAGCATGCCCAGGAAAGGTACATGGGGCCAAAGGGGATCGCACCCGTGACCTCCTGAAAGCCACTCTCGCGCACCTTATCACCTGAGCTAGGCCGGCGGATCGTCATTTTCCATAACCCTGGTTTCAGAATGAAGAAACAGGGGTTAAAAGAATGAATCGTACAGCTGAAGGGGGGGGACGATCAAGGGGGGAAAAGATAACAGAACGGAAACGGTATCGTCAGCTCATACAGCTGCAGGATAGCGTACATCCTCTGTGATCACAGCAATAACACAGCTGGAAAAAAAAGAGCGAATACATCCGTTCTTCGAACTTCTTTCTCATCAGGACGAAAAATGTAATCCGTAGCGGACATTGCAAAATAGTCAATACTTAGTGAGTCCACTTAACTGGTTTAGTTAGTATACAGTCCCTTTAGCTAGTCTAACCATCAGTATATGGCTAGGACTATTCCTATAGCTATCACGGTAGGGGATAGGCTCTCGAGGTCTATAGCAAGTTCCCGCAGTTTTTTATAAATTAAAAAGTCTTAAAGACTCTTAACCAGCTAAGTAAGCTAGTTAGGTAATTCTGTTTCTGGGTAAGCAAAATGAGGCAACCGGGCCGGTCTCATCATTTTCAACACCCGTGCCGCTTTTGCCGCACAATTCTACCATCATTCTGCTAGACTTGACCTGCTCAACCTCCTTGGCAGCTGCTGAGACTTGAGTTCATTCACAGGTTGGCTTGCTTGTACTTGGGCCGGCAGAGCCTTATCTTTCTTCGCCTCACCACGTTCCCGTTCGTACCATATTAACATCCCCACAAAACACTTTTTGCACCTGCGTCTCTTCTGTGCCCATTTTAGCATCTTGCCACTACACTAGACTTGCTCATCCTCCTTGGAAGCTTCTGACATTTTGAGTTCATTCACAGTTGGCTTGTCCTTGGAAGGCGGCGCTTTGTCCTTCTTCGCTACGTTCCCGTACCATACCATCCCCACAATCGCGAACGTAATTCCTAAAAGCACCTTCATTGTGAACATCTCTTTCCCAAACAAAAAGTAGCCAAGCACCAAAACCAAAACAGTCTTCATGTGGCCAAGAACTTGGAACCTGTAAGGCATTTCATGGTCAAGGAAAAAATAAATAAAAAAGAAAAAATGAAGGGGTGCTCAGATGCCGTGGACTGTTTCTCCTCCGTTCTGCTACTGTCTCTTATACACATCTAGATGTGTATAAGAGACAGCTCTGTCCCTTCCACACACAAAAGGATAAGGGGAAGGGCCGGGGAAAAAAAATTAAATAAATAAAAAAGAAAGAAAGAAGAAAAAAGTACAAACCCAGAAGAGAGAGAGAGAGGGAGGGAGTCGAAAATGGCGATGATTTTCTTTAAAAAATGGGTCAGGCTCCACTGCACAGCATTCCCACTGTCTCTTATACACATCTAGATGTGTATAAGAGACAGGTCTCTGTGTGTGTGTGTGTGTGTGTGTGTGTGCGTGTGTGCGTGTGTGTGTTGTTACAAAATCAACAACAAACGGCCCATACGTTGCCTTCTGGTAATGGACTCCCAGATTGGTCAGCGATTTGGACCATTCGCGCAATGGAAGGCCCTGATTGCAGGCCAATCACCAAAAATTCACACCGGCCTGTGATCCAGGCCGCCAGTGCAGGTCGCGGGCCCTCCTGAAATTTGCTGATCGCCCTGTGATCTGGGCCGTTTGCGTGCACGAACCGCGAACAACCCAGATGGGCCCCTAAGGCTTATGACTCTTTTCTACCGTTCATGTCATTCCACCAAACAGAGGACAGGCTTTTTTGCCTTTTCCGTCATGGGCAAAATTTCTGGCAACCACGTAGCATCAGATCTGCAAGCGGATTAGCAGTTCCGTCACGAACAGCGAACAACCCTTCGAAGCGTTTTCTTATCATCAAGCGGATTAGCAGTGCTTTTAGAATTTCCCTTTGTGGAAGTTAGACCGCTCCATGCAGCTGCGGCAGCACAACCATGTAGCATCAGATCTGCAGAAGGGAGAGGATGGACATCGGAAAAGTGGGGGGAGGAGGGGGAAAGGAGGGGGGAAAGCAGGGGGGAAAGGAAGGAGGAAAGGAGGAGGGGTGTTCCCCTTAACACCGGTGCTCCCATACCCATGACGCGGTGGAGGAGAAGGAGGAGGAGGAGGAGGAGGAATGAAGAATGAAGAGTACAAGAGAGATTCCCAAAAAAACAACAAAAGTAAATGGGATTGCAAGCATGCTTGAGGAGGAAGAATCAAGAGGACCACATGATGCTGAGGAAACTATTAAGGGGGACGGAGAGGGGACGGAGGAAGGGAGGTGCTTTGTGATACGCTTATAATGCTGATTTCAGTAAGGCATTGTGTGGATAGAACAACATTAGACACCACATTTCATATTTTACGACCTTCTTTGCCTTCGAATGAACTTCCCGTCATCAGGAACATACACAAGGTGTCTTGCGAGCCTAGGCCGAACAAAGATCGGCTATCCCCCTCAAATCCTTTTTTTTTTTTTTTTTTTTTTTTTTAACAACCCGGGCTGATGCTAGGGCCGCTGGTAGGAGCAGACACCCCTAGCATTCCAGTCGCAAGATGATAGGGCACTATGTACAGGGGAAGGAGGGCCAAGCTCAACATGATGAACACAGGCAAGTCTTGGAAATGAAGAACAGACATACCTGGGATGTGGCAAAGTTAAAAAGGATACCCTACTGCGCTGAATCGCCCAATGCAGATGAACTGACTGAGGTTTGTTCCAACTGCAATAAGGCACGATAGAATGATGAAGAACTGCATCAATCCCAGCCAGATACAGCCATTCACACCACCATGGAACAACAACGAAAGACAAGGAGTCAGTTTAAACTTTCAACTTTCAAAAGACAGAAGAAAGAATCAAAAGGTGAGGAAAATCAAAAGACTGAAGTCAAAAGCACGATGCAAAAGACTTTAAACTTTCAAAAGACAGCCAGGACCATAAGGACCTGTTTGAAAAGAAAAAAAAAAAGAGAAAAAAAAAAAGACTGAAGTCAACTTTGCTTATTATTTAACCTTGCCGCGAAGGCTCATGCATGATGCAAGGAAAATGAGCGATAGCGATAGCGAATTCCAGAAACCAAGCAGCATCATACAGATGAAACCAGATAGTCGTGACCTCGAACCAACAGCAGAATTGCGACTGGAGTTCCACAAAATAAGAGCACAGCAAAAGCGCACAAGTGACAATGTTGGAATAGTCTCATCATCATCAACAAAGAAGCAATGTCGATTTCCTATCTGGCGCTCTGCGCCTAGACTACAAATGGCAGATCCTATCTAGCCTATCGACAATGCCGCTGGTGACGTCAACAGCTCCCCGAAGTACGAGCAGATATCGGCCAAAGCCGTTCGCCTCAAGCACCAGGTATGTCTCTCGTATCACTCACAACCTCGATCCCCCACACAGATGCCATGTGCACCCAAGGACCACCATGCACCCCATCCAGCATAGGGCAGGGCAGCTCGGCTATGGCTGCCTGCTCTTCCTGCTCGCCCGTGAGCGCGTGGGCGCTGGCCAGCGATTAGCGCAGCAACGCTTGCGCAGCATGCGGCCAGTGCCCGAATGCCGAATGCGAGGGCAGGCACTTTCCTAAATGAAAGTAGCCTGCCTGCTGCGTGCGGCCTGGTTGCGCTGGGCCCCTGCCCAGAAGCTTCCGGTACGCCCCAAGTGGCTGAGCCCCATTCCAAACGAGTCAGGCCCTGGGCCTATGGCAGTTGCCCGTGTTCAACTGCCCGCAGCCTGTGTTCGGCCCATGTTACGTATCTGGACCAGGGCCTGCCTCAGTTACGTACGATAAAGGCAGCCAGGGCCTAAGCGCTCTCAACCAACTGGCGCTGCGCAACTACCCCTCTTGTCCTTGGTCGGGCCTGCCTTCACTTAGGGCGGCCGACACTGTTGCAAACAGGGCCCAGTAGGGCTTACCGAGGCCTTGCGGCTCACAATGATGTAAACAAAGCATTAATAAACCACCAGCCAGTACTTGCCCCCATATATATCAGCCGCGGGCCCCTGTCGTAGTATACGCGCCGCAAATTTCCGGGCCTTCGCGGCCGTTGACAAAATTCATCAATGGCCTGCACCGGTTCGTTTTTTTGGCGCGCAGGGCATCCCCAAGGTTGGAGAAAAGTGCCTCAGAAGTACTGGTGGTCTGAACAACCAGTACAAGGACCCAGCCAACCGGAGAATCACAATTGAGCCACTCCTAAAATTTAGGAGGCCCGGGGCAACCGGACCAGAATGGCTGGCAGGCCCAGCCCAGCCAACAAAAAAATAAGGAAAAAAAAAAAAAAAAAATCACCGTGCTGGCCTTTCGGCAAAGCTTGGTGTGCAGGGCAGGGGCAATCCGCCTCGTACAAAAGAGGCCCGGATGTACTGGTGGTTTAAATACAAAAAAAAAAACCTTGAAACAACAAAGGAGCCCAAGCAGCCCAGGCTAACCCCAGCAGTGGGCACGGTTCTTGGAAGGCTTTCCAAGCCGGGATGCATTGAGCAGCGCACCCAGTTGCATGATCCAAAGCAAGGACCACCGTCCGGCCGGGCATCCAGGAGGTGGTCCAGATGGTGGTCCATATGGTGGTCCAGATGGTGGTCCAGATGGCGGTCCAGATGGTGGTCCAGATGGTCCCAAGCAAGGACCACCTCATGGCCCTTCAGCAGTGGGCACAGTTGGAAGGATAAAAGAAAAAGGAAGAGCTCAAGCAGCCAAGACTAACTTCAGCAGCAGGTACAGTTCAAACTTCGAAGGCTTTCCAAGCCGGGATGCATCGAGCAGCACACCCAGTTACATCCAGAACGGGATCTGGACGGGGTGGGACCGGCTGCAGCACTGAACAAAAGAAAATTCCATCCGCCCCCATGCGGGCCGTATCCCAAGTGCCCAAGCTTCTCAGCGAGGCTCATTCGTGATTCTCCAGATGTACTGGTGGTTTAATCGTAGTCTTTTTTTTTTTTTTTTTTTTTTTTTTTTTTTTTTTTTTTTTTTTTTTT